AAAGAAATAATTCAGACTGAAACATTATCATTATATTAAGGGAGATCTGTCAAGTTCCCCACAAACCATAAAGTTTGGTATTTTTTTAAAAAAATGTTTTTAATTACCTCAAAATGGGTTTACAGAATTTTTTTTAAGGAAATCAGCTAGTTTCTCATCAATTAAGTTTAATATCGTGATAACCCTTGGCCAACTTTAGTTGATATTGTTAATTTTACCAATGGCAGGCACCATATATGATTCACTGATGCAGGAAAGAATGGGTTATACATTTATTTTATTTTTTATAAACAATTTTCAAAATTATTGTCCATCTTTAGCAGACTGTAGATCTGTAGAAAAGTTGAAAGTACCAGGGTAGTAGAAACAAGACTCAAGTTTGGAAAAAATGTGTCAGCTTCAGGTATTTTTGTAAAACATATTATTTTATTTAACAATTTCCAGCTAAATATAGTGACACTTATATCCTATGTAAATGGTACAAGAAAAACTAAGTTTGTTGATTATATAAAACTCAGGTATTTTATCACCAACCATGCAGTTTTACATTTGTTTATACACCTAAGGTATGGTGTAACCAGTTCTTGTGTACCTTGTGTATACACAAGTTAATCACTGAAAACTGTTGATCATCACTGATGATTACCTGAAAATGTGGATATATGCATGCATGCAAACAAGAAATCTTGTACACAAGAGAGTTCTCCATATGTCATTGAAAATAGATGTATGCTATCATTTCTATATTCCATATAACTTCTCTTAATTGAGATGATCATGTTCAGTACAATCTATAGACATTCATACAATGCCATGAATGCATGATGAATTATTTTTTAATAAATGTATCAATCTAATATAGAGAAATTTAATAAGTTTGAATTCATGCATTTCCATAACAAAGAAACTCACAACCTTGGACTTCCTTTTTACATGTACATGATTGTTTTTATATTGTATTAAGGAATAAATGCTATGAAAACAATGAACGAAAATGTTTTGTTGAGAAAAGTTTTTGTGTTTATATATATATATTTAGTTTTTCTAGTTTATTTCCTGCGATTTTTACCCAGGAAATTTTTTCAAAAGCAGTGTAGTTTTAGTAAATTAACTGAAATTATTGTTGTTACTTACATTTAGATATATAAGGTGTGTGAATTCAAAAATTGGAAATTTTGGAGAAAATTCAGTTTGTTTTAACATATTTTTCCAATTATAAGATCATAATATGTATATATACATTCTAGTTGAATACTTTTAAGTATATCAATAGAATACACAAATCCATAGAAAAGTTTCAGAATTAATTTTTATTAACCAGTGTTAACAGAATTTTATTTGAAAAATTAGAACTTTTATTTAAAAAGACAAATCTCCACCAAAAATTTGATCATATACAGACAGTCAGACCATAAATTTAGAAAGTTTAATAAATGACGTGTTAAAATTAATTCCCAACAAATTACTTAATATCAATTTATATAAGGCAATTCTGAAAACTAATTAAGGCAAAAAAAGAATTTTGAAAGTGTTATTTTTTTTAAATACAAGATTTGGAAGTGATTCTATTTAACCCCGATCATTTTGTTGCACTAGCTCCTGACTTCTGATATGTTTACAAAAAAACATCATCTTAAATTTATAACACACTCATTTTTTTTTATTTTGTAATTAAAGGCTCTTCATTGTTTGGAAATTGTAAACCATTTATGGGTAGTTTTTCATACTTTCTAGATTTGAATGAGGATGCAAGTTTTTTTCCCCCAAATCATCTATAGTTGCACTTCTGACATAAATAATTTATTTTATGTGTTAAATACCAGGGGCAGAATGGGTTTTTAAAGAAATAATTTGAAAATGGCACCGTATGCATTTTCTCAACACAACTGTAAGCACTTTCAAAAGAAGATTTTCAAAAAAAAAAGATGCTTTTTCACTATATTACCAATAGATCCTCACCCTACACCAGAACCCCTAGCTTACCCACAGGCCATAAAGTTTCACAATTTTGTAAGAGGCACCCTTGCTCATATATGCATCACACCATGCATTTACTGGTAACATGTTTGCCTAATTTAATATCCTAGAATAAAGAATATTTTGAAAGAAATAATGCTTTTTCACCAGATTACCCTAAAACCTGACCCCTGGGTCACAAATTTTACAATTGATAGAGAGCTCAATTAATGCTTATTACATTCATGTCAACAGTTTGACTATTGGATTTCCAAGAGTAAAGAAGAAGATTTTAACAATTGCATATACAATGTATTTTGATGGTTTTAGTCCCATCCTTCAAGCCCAGAAGGGGAGAGGGGTCAAGGACCATGAAATTCAAAATTCATGTTTCCCTTTACCTATAAAAACTGGTTAACTTTACCCATAAAACTGGTTAAAATTGGTTCAGTGGTTCAAAAGAAGCTGAAAATTTCAACATTTTATGACCAATGAACAACAAACATAAACAAATCACAATTGGTAGGTCACCTGAATGACTCAGGTGACCTAAAAAAAATTATCTTTACAATAAACAGTTTACTTTGTAATTAACAAATGAACATAAATCATATTTAGATTTATTAAGGTTGAATGGAATGTCATTTATTAATCTAAGTGGTTCTTTGGGTTTGTTTGTTGGGATTTCATCATGATCCTAAATGTCCTTTGGGGTTCTTTTATTCTTTATGTTTTGTATTATACAAATATACAATAAACAGTTATAATTCATAATTAACAAGTGCATTTAAACCATGAAAAGATTTTTTAAAAGTTGAATTGAGTGTCATTTAGATTTTCTTTCAGGTACCTTGGCTTATCCTAGTGGTACAGGGGTTATCATTAGGGTTCTTCTTAGATATCAACTTTTGGTTTGTGTATTGACTACTGCAATACACAATTAACCATTAACTTTTTGTACATCATAAAAAGATACAATAATTTAACTGTTCCTCTGAACTATAAATGCATAATTCAGCTTAAATAAGTATATTTACTTTTAAATTTTTAACTTGGATAACTGCTCTATATTTAAGACAAAGTGTTAAATTGCCTTTCAAAAACATTTTTTCTAATTTACAAGTGCATATAAACCATATTTAGAATAATTAAGGTTGTGTATGGTGTCCCTGGGGTACCTTGTGGTATCCCTGGGGTTCCTTGTGGTTCCTTGTGATTCCTTGTGGTATCCTTGTGGTTCCTTGTGGTACCTTGTGGTTCCTTGTGGTAAAAAGACGCACCCGGTTATAAGTGTCCGTAAGAGAGGGAGTAAGTGTCACTGGGTTTGCTTATCTTGGCTAATTAATCAACTGAGACATCCCTGATTTGCAGATAATGAGGTGTAAACTGTGAACTACCTGGTGTTTAACCTTCATTCCATTGAAGACAAGCAATATTATTAAAACAATTAATAGCTCTCAAAACACTTATTTCAATACAGAATGAAATTGTGCTATTAGTTTAATTACTTAAAGACACATTCAATTTACATGTTTATTACTAAGAGTTCTAATTTACTTATTTTTTTTTAAATACACGTACAGGAATGTTTAATGTGTACTGTCAACATACGGGCAGCCCCAATACTTCTAATGAAGTAATTCACAATAAAATATTAAATAATATTTGCAACAAGTCAATAAATATGGAGGTTCAGATCCAAGGTTGAAAGGAATAATTATTCCTTGGCATATTTCATTGTAGGAATCATGTCTCCACTTTCCCTGGTAGAGAATCCCTCATTTGGGCATTTAGTGAGAATGTTAGCCAGAATAAAACCTTATAAGAATCTGCACTGAAACTGCAGGAACACATTCAAACTTCAGTAGATAACATCAACATTTACCATTTAAATATTGCTTTGATATTTGAAGGGATAAAAACTTGGAAGTAATCGATTACATCTTCCAAAGTAATCGATTACAATCGATTACAGGACAAAAATGAGTGTAATCGATTAATAATCGATTACACAAATTCCTCTAAGTAATCGATTATTAATCGATTACATTTTTGAGTAATCGTGCCCATCCCTGATACTAGAAGAGGTGCAGGACAACCCCTACCTTGGCCTTCAGATTTCATCAGATCTAAAGTGGACCACACATATAAATAACACAACCAAAAAAGCACATTCTACACTGGCCTTCAATCCTTCACAGAAACTTAAAGAACTGCACAGAGAACTGCAGGAAAGTAGCGTATATCTCCATGGCAAGATCAATTATGGAATATGGCGCCACAGTCTTGGACCCATATCAAAAAGGAGACATAGACAAACTCGAACGCATACAGCGTAGGGCCATCAGGTTCATCAAACTGGACTACCGAACCACGGAAGAGGGCTACATAAATAGAATGGCATCCAAGCTGGAACTTCCTACATTGGAAAAAGAAGTCTCCGCTTGGTACTACTGTATAAGGTGGTTGAGGGGTTGGTACCAACACTACCTCCATCTGAATTCGTAACACCCTCCAAACACAAACGAATAATAAAACCAAGAAACTTTGGAAACTGTGTTTCGGACAATGTAGTAACAAAACAAGTAAAAAAGAACACCAGAAGTTTTGAAGTGACACCAGCTAAAACAAAACAGTACCAGCACTCATTCTTCATAGACATTGTGATCAAGTGGATCTACCTGGACGAAGATACAGGGCGTGCAAAATCTGTTGAGGCCTTCAAGACCACCCTTGACAAGATTTGTCAATAAGATCGACAGCGCTCTCTCCCGTCGTATAAAAGCCAGTATTGGGTACAACGACGTACACAGATACAGATCAGGATTTTCCTGGAGGGTAAATAAATACTTCCGCAATAACGCCTAAAAGTCTAGGGCAGCTGATTATATACAATTTACAGACACAAATTATTAACATTAACTTTGTCATGAACTAGGAGGATTCCTTGCTTTATTATTCTGTTGTCGGCAGACGTGGGACTGAGATAACTCGAGCTGACAACGAAACATGCTCAGTAATCAAAATTTTGGGATTACACTCACTTGTTCTTGGTAATCTCATATTTTTGATACGGTTATTCCGTAAAATAAACGTTGCTGTTTTTGACGAACTCATTTTTAAGTTGGAATATAGTGGAATGTTTTACAAGGGCGCAGACATGTTGGATGTGTGCTGATTGAAAGTACGTACCACAGAAAATTCGTATAAAATGAATTTATCGAAATACCCATAGAAACTGCATTGATTTTTTTTTTAATCATTTACATAATTTCGTTATGTATTCACTTATACTCCATATTCATATATTCATGTCTATTTTGTGCAATACAAATAAAAAATGGAAGTAAGAAATTCTTTAAGTACAACCTATCTAATTAACTTTGAACGTGAAATGCTCACAAAATAGGTAAAACATTGTCTTTATTATGGACTTAAAATCATGCATTTGTAGATTCCCATATTTCCATTTGATGTTCTGCTCCTATCCTTCTTTTAATCATCAAAAAGTCTATCTGCATCTTGTCGTCAACCAACCTGTAAACAACATGGCGGAGCAAGCGTAACACGAAACCATTGTAAGAGAAAACAAGACGCATCCACATAATTTTATGAAAGGTACAAGTCCACATCCACATCATTTTAATAAAAGGCGAAGCAAACAATCATGTTCGATTTTTGACCATCAACTCGAAATATAATCCACGATTAAACTTGGGCAAGTTTATTGAGCAAGTATTCGATATTTAAAATGTTCAAAGTAGCTATTATTTGCAGCTGTGTGGTATGACACTAAGTTGAATAACACGAAATAAGATTTACAAAACTGAGTTGTTATCGTGTTAAAGCGTTTTGTTGAAGGATCAATGATAATGCTTGTTATCTGCATGCATCTTTATATTTTACATGTAAAAAAGAATGTGTCAATGATACAGTCAAACTTCGTTATCTTTAACTCATTGGGACCAAGAAAAAACTTTGAGATATCCGAGGGTCGAGATATCGAGAGTAAAATACTTAAGAAATATGTGGTTAGGACTCCTCAATCACTTCGACATATCCGTGGTATTCGAGATATCCAAGTTCGAGATACCAAAGTTCAACTGTATGTTGTATTATTGTACAGAAAAAGGAACGACTTTACTTTACCGGTCCCCAGAAAAACACACTAAAATATAGTGTTGCCGTAGGTGACTTCAATATATATGAGAATGTGTGAGCGATGAAATTTTTTTTTTTTAAATATGAGGTTTTAAGTCTTTTTGACCCCAAAATCAAATTCTAGAGTTAAAAGTTTAGTTTAAAACTTCATTTTTAACCTCGTTCTATGAAAAAAAGTAATAAATATTGTTTATTCAGTAAAAAGGACACAAAAAATAATTGTCAACGAAGTGCATGCGGCGCATGCTTAGTGCCATTTCTTTCTTACTTAGCCATTTTTTTCATGTAAACAAACCAATGAGATGTCGTTGAAGCTGAATGAAGATCTTGCAAAAAATATAGATACAAGTGAATTTCTTAATTAATCTAAAAGAACAAGACACTAACCCTAATCTCTTGGATGGTATGCAAGGACTAACCCAAATCTCCCAGGTGGATGCTAGACTAACCCATGTGCGAGGACTAACCCTAATCTCTCAGATGGATGCGAGACTAACCCTAATTAGTCGAAAACTTGTGCAAGGACAAACCCTTATCTTTCAGATGGATGCAAGACTAACCCTAACAAGTCAAAAAATGTGCAAAACTAACGCTAATCAGTTGAGTGATGTAAATCTTACGTCATAGTGCAATGAGCGTGCGGATCTGGGGACCATTAAAGTAAAGTCTACCCCAGAAAAAAAGTTATTACATGTATCTTTTACTTTTAGTTGCAGATTCAAGGTTTCATTATGCCAGGAGGAGAGTTACAGCCCAGTAACAAAAATGGAACAGGTTCTTTTAGATTTGGAACAAATCGACAAGTGGAGCTCACCCTTCGCAAGGAGCTGGATGACATGGCAAAAAAGTCTCTGAATGAGATAGCCGTTAAAAGAGATGAAAGACTGAAGCTTCCACAAAGTGAAGAAACTGTCACAACAAGGTAGGATTTTCGTTTATTGTGACTCTGAGTTAAAACCAAATGTGTTCAACCTTACAGATAATGTTAACATTAGAACACTTTTCATATTTATGAATGTATTGTTTATTTTACAACCATTCATCTAGGAGACTCCAGCCAGCATTTGAACCAGAAAGACGCAAAGAAAAAAGGAAAACAGAGCCTGTATTCCATGATGACATTCTCACAAAAGCAGCCAAAAAAGTAGCTTAAATTTTTTTTTCACTGAAACACATGAAGTATAAATTTCAATAAATTTGTAAGTCTATATCTTTTATCTATTTTCCTGCTGTAGGACCCAAAGTTTATTTTAAAACCAGTGATGGAGCCTCCCTATAACCCTCTTGAAAAATCTCATAATGTGGACCCCAAAATTGCCAGAGTACACTCACGAAAACTGCCTTTCTGCAAGGAAACAACAGTTACCACAGACGGTATATATTGAACTACAAACATTTTGATATGTAACTTATATTTATTTGTTTTGTTGATAATTGCTTGTTTTTGTTTGTTAGATTTTTAATGAAATAATTGATTTTTTTATGTAGTATTTTGTAATGAGATTTATGATATATAACAGAAGTATTATTATGTTTGCAGACATGAAGAAACCAAAACTGTCCTCTGTGGGAATTGTACCATCCAGGTCTAGGTAACACAACAAATCATACAAAATGACTTCATTTGAGAATTTTTTCTCAAATCTGTTCTCACCTGTAGTGCCATTCCTATTCCATAATCTATTCATTTATGCACTTTTTCCCTGTATGATTTTATAGTGTCAGTGTTCCTGGTCTTAAGGTGGTTATGGAAGGAAAGCCAGCCTTGATGTCAGAGGATTCAGCCTTAGAACAAATGATGCAGGTTTGGGTTTTTCTTTATAGAGGGACAAAGAAGTACATTAATTTCATTGAATATTTTCTTTTCTTGAAATTATTTCTTTTTTCTTTCTTTCTTTCTTTTTTTTTAGATTGTAAAAGCTATAAATAAATTTGGTTTTCTGATTTGCTTTAATTCTTTATACTTTGATTTTGGTTCCCCATTGACAGGTTAACTCACCGGTAAGCATTATTGGTATTTGGTTTTAAGATGAAGCCCTGTCTTTTTTAAATGCAAGTGATTGTATATGTCTTTTGATTAATGAATTCATTTAATGTTAAATACTTCAACATAATTCATAACACAAGATAAATGTCAACAGCATGTATGAAATATCATTCACATTTTTGAATAGCAGAAATAAGCAGACACCATTCACATTTTGTAATTTTCCACTGTTATATAACATGATAACTGGTTGCTCAGGGAATAGCTTAAAGCATGATTCTTACTCTCTAAATTCCAAGAATTTCACATATCTTTGCATGTTCTTAACAAGTGTGAACCAAGTAATGTTGATTTTCCTCACATGTAATCAAGATGGAAGTAATTCAATGTTTTTGTTGTTAAAACTTGGTTTTATAATATATGATATCTAATGATATTTAAAGTATAGCCGGTCAATATTATAAAGTGTTTACTGATGGTCTCAGTTGTACATGAAGCTTTTATGACAATCTACTGTAGGCTAATAAGATGCGAGCTTTCACCCCATTGACGCCAGAGCAGGAAACTCCTGGGGAGACACCTGTCCAGACAGAGAGGGAGGAGGGTGTTGATGAAAGTGAGGAGACAGAGAAGAAACCAGCTATACTGATGTCCGAGGGGACTCTACAAAGGGTGGCCTTCAAAGAGAGGCCCAAACCTCTCATTCCATTCTCCTCCCTCAAGAGGACTCATAGAAGAGTTGGTATGAGTAAATTGTTGAGATATTATAATGGTATTCAAATTCAAACTTAGTAAATTTGGATTTACTTATGTCATTATGAATTGATTTGTAAAGCTAATTAAGAAACTGCAAAAATGTGAACTGCTAAAACATTTTATTTAAATATATAGTTCTCAGAATTAATTTATAAAGTTTAATATGTTTTAATAGAAAGTGCTCTAAGTGTGGCTACCTCACTGAAAAGTGAAAACAACCTCCTGCCAGATGAAAATGTTTACAGTCGCTATGACGAAGCCATTGCAGGAATTGATGATGATCTTCAGACGGCTGTCAGTCACCAGGAAACAAAAGAGGAGGGATGGAGGGCTACCAGTGCCGTGTCGGTATGTGTCAGGGGTTAACAGTGCTGTGTCGGCATGTGTCAGGGGTTAACAATGTTGTGTTGGGATGTGTCATGGGTTAACAGTGCCGTGTCGGTATGTGTCGGGGTTAACAGTGTCATGTCGGTATGTGTCAGGGATTAACAGTGCCTATTTACTGTATCGAGAGGTTGGACTTCCATTGCTTTATACTAGAGGTGTCAAGGGTTTGGTTTATATTGAACTCTTCCATAATTATTACTAATCAGAGTTGCAAGAGGTAGACTAAATGTGTTTAATGATTATAAAATTACATTGTATTATGATATTATGAGGTGAATTTCCCTTTTAATATTTATACTTACAGCACCATTAAGAAAATATGTTGATATAAATTTTGATACTTGGTAAAATATAATTGCAGATGTTGCTAAATCAGTATTTCAAACATATATTTATTTGTAGTTATCTGTAGATATTAAATCTTTCATTTTATTTCATAGACCAAATCAACAAAAGATCTCTTGGAAGAGGCCAAAAAAATTACCAAGCCTGGGGCAGAGCCAATGTGGAAACTGCAGGGCAAGAAATCTCCAAGGAAAAAGGATGGGAAAAAAGACACCAAGAAAGATAAGAAAGCTCAAGGTGATAAAAACCTTTACTTTTGAAAGTAAACTGCCTACAGCAGATAATTGATATCCAAACTTCTATTTATCAGTGCACTAAGAGTCAATCTTTTAATTTTGTATGTTAATATTTATAAGTAGTTAAATTATTTCTGTTGAATGGTTTGTCTTTAGACTGAGTCTAAATACATGTTTCATAAGATACTAGTTTAGATAGTTGAAATTAAATCAGTTATGGTTTAAATTTTAAAATTGACAGAAAAATTGAAAAGTAAAGAGAAGGAGGAGGAGATTGATGGGAAGCCCCGCCCACGTTCTGA